TGATTTGTTTGGACGCAAGGTTTATTCGGAGGGGGGACTGCCGCTTAGGGCCGCAAACCAATAGGCGCTTTTAAGCAGATATAACTATAACTCATGGAACTCCATGGGGAAATTTAAAGAGTTGGTCCCCCAGGACTCAAGGGAGGAGTTCGGGGCCCTGGTGGAGGAGGGAAAAAAGGTGGCTAGAACCTCCTTACAGGCCTCCCTAGACATTGCGGACTCGGCAGCCAGGACAATAGCGTCAGGGACAGCCATGCGACGTGTCTCCTGGCTCCAGGTTTCAGGGTTGCCACCAGAACTACAGCAGACCCTGCAGGATCTGCCGTTTGACGGCCAAGGCTTGTTCTCGGAGAAGACTGACTCTAGGTTACAGAGCCTCAAGGACTCAAGAACCATGATGTGCTCCTTGGGATGCATGTCCCAGGACCCCAACGCAGGCCATTTAGGCCACAGCCACAGAGGTTCTACCCTCCTCCTCCTCCTCGTCCGAGACAGGACTTCCCCAGACGGCGGGGACGAGGTGGTAGACGGAGGTCGACGGGCCCTCAGCAGGGTCAGAATCAGGGCCCACCTAGGCCACCTTCAGGCCCTAGGCAAAACTTTTGAAGCTGCGCCCGAGGACGGCGTACCAGCCACCACCCAGGATCCATTTCCTTCCTTTCGGGATCGCCTCTCCCGTTTCCACCATGCTTGGTCCCTTATAACTTCGGACAGTTGGGTCCTTCGCACGGTGGAGAGGGGATACGCTCTCCAATTTTCTTCTTCCCCTCCTTCCCACCCCCCCTCCCCGTCCCTCTTCAGGGACCCTTCTCAAGAGCATCTCCTTATACAGGAGGTTTCTGGGCTCCTCTCTATGGGGGCCATAGAGGAGGTTCCCCCAGAGTTAAGGGGCAAGGGGTTTTACTCCCACTACTTCCTGATCCCCAAAGCAAAAGGGGGTCTGCAACCCATCTTAGACTTGCGCGGACTCAACAAATTCATAGTAAAGTTGAAGTTCCGCATGGTCTCCTTGGAGTCCATCATCCCTTCCCTGGATCCTGGAGACTGGTACGCCGCCCTCGATATGAAGGACGCTTATTTTCATATAGCGATCTACCCCCCGCACAGGCACTTTCTTCGTTTTGTAGTAAACAAGGTACACTACCAATTTGCCGTCCTTCCCTTCGGGCTGTCCGCGGCTCCGAGAGTGTTCACCAAATGTATGACTCTCGTGGCAGCATATCTTCGTCAGCAAAGGATACAGGTGTTCCTGTATGTAGACGACTGGCTGGTCCGCGGCTGTACCAGGGAACAGGTTCGGGCGCATGTCAGCATAATACTACAAACATTCCAAGACTTAGGCATTCTACTCAACGAAGAGAAGTCCACTCTGGAGCCAACCCAGAGAATAGAGTTTATCGGCGCAGTCCTAGACTCCACACTTGCCCGAGCTCTTCTGCCAGACACTTGGTTTCACGCCATCGCAAACATCATCCGTGGACTTCAGGCCTTCCCGATCACCACTGTAAGGACATGTCTCGGTCTGTTGGGTCACATGGCCTCTTGCACTTACGTAACCAGACATGCCAGACTTCGGCTTCATCAGCTTCAGGCCTGGGTCTCGTCGGTGTACTGCCCTTCTCGAGACAGCCTGAGCATGGTAGTCACGATTCTGAGCTCGGTCTTGACCTCTCTCACCTGGTGGCTGGATCACAAAGCAGTTTGTGCAGGAATGCCGTTTCACGCCCCACAGCTCTCCCTGCACCTAGTCATGGATGCCTCATCTCTAGGTTGGGGGGCTCACCTCAGGGAGCACCATACCCAAGGCCTGTGGAGCACATTCCAACTAGTTCTGCACATCAATGTTCGGGAGCTCATGGCAGTACGCCTAGCCTGTCAGGCATTTCTAGGTCTCCTGCATGGCCGCTGCGTGTTGGTCCTCACAGACAACACCACGGCCATGTTCTACATCAACAAGCAAGGAGGAGCCCGGTCGTCTCCCCTATGCCAAGAGGCCATTCGCCTGTGGGAGTTCTGCATTGCCCACTCGATACATCTCATGGCATCATAGACTCATAGACTTCAAGGTCAGAAGGGACCATTATGATCATCTAGTCTGACCTCCCACATGATGCAGGCCACAAAGCCGTCCCAACCCTTTCCCTTGACTCTGCTGTT